ATCCGGCGCGGCCCCGATCAGCGGCCTATTACCTTCGAGCAATGCAAAGACATTGCTTTGCGTCGCTTGAGGTTGCAGGGCGCTGCGTTCTATTGCTTGGCAGCGCATTGCCTTGCTTGGCACAGCGATTTATATTGTTTAACGTTGCTTGTCATTGCTCACAATTGCTCTGCATTGAGTTGCGATACGTGGCACTGCTGTTGCTGTGCATCGCTTGACGTAGGCTTCGCATAGGCTTCGCATAGCATGGCATGGCACGAACTGGGGAACGCAGGGAACAAGGCAGCCCGTTGCGCCTCCCAGACGAGCCGAAGCTCGACTGGGAGGTCCAGTTCGTCAGAAAACAGCCGCAACACGAGAGAGCACGGCTGTGAAAGAGAAAGGTCCACCTCAGGCACAAAGCCGCATTGGAAACAAAACAATCAGACATCGATGTTCGGTTGATCCCCAGCTCTACTGTACTCTTCGGTCCTCGGCGCCCCTCCTCCCCGAACCCTGGGTGCTCCTTTCCCTCCGACCTGCAGGCCGGAGGGGGGCACGGACAGAATTGTGACGAAGGCCGGCAGCAGTGCATGCCCATCCTGGCCATCACTCGCCCGTCGCGGGCGTTGTCCGTTTGAGGCGAAAGGCTGCCTGCTCAGCATCGGCCGATGCCAATTTGGAATAACAACGCTCGCTGTTCGACATGGCACACCTTTTTCCCGAGCTTGGGCCCCTTTGGGGAGTCGAAAACTGGTGAGGCGTCAGGTTGCACACATAACGCCAGCCCCCTCAGACCCTCCGTCCTGGCTGGCTTCAACAGGCCCGCCGAAAAGTCCCAGCTGGCCTGACCAGGCGCTCCGAAGACAGTCAACCCGTATAGCAAGGATGCGCGGTAAGGATGCAAGGGCCTTGGAAGCCCATGCCGAGGCTCTTCGAGCGGGGCTGGCCCTCGGAAGTGGTTGCGGATGGACCGAAGATGAGCGAATGAGGCAAGGATGCAAGGTACCCTTGGTAAGTCGATTATCCTTATCCTGTAGTCCAGGGCGGTCGGAACACTCTGGCGCCGACTCCCGCGGGTGCGCGGAGCGCCCCGAGGGTTGAGCGTGGACTACCTCGGGGAGCCTGCTCCGCTCAACAGCCCGCCCTGGACTGCTCCGGGAGCCCTTCGTGGCCAGCTGGGGCTGCCTGTTGGCAAGACGGGGCCATCATAGAAATGACGCGACCCAGTCTGAAACTTGACGCGTGCCCCCGCTGCAGGCATCCCACGAAAACTGGACCGACCGACAGAACCCAGGACGCGCTCGTCGAAAAGCGTCCGCGAGCACGAGGTCCGGCTTGCTCTCGAGTCTTCCGTTTCTCCGAACCTGGGGGGGGGGATGTGCGCAACCCGAACCCAAACGTGCGACATGCGTGTTTGTTCAACACTGGGCACCCTGGATGTCCCGACCCTCTCCCCGGGGCGGGCGTTTCCGATCGCGAGCTGCTTGTCGACGGTCCCAGGGCCTGGAGGGGGGCACCGGGATGCCGACAAAAACTGCCGCAAGCTGCCATCTGCCGAAGACCGCCACATGCGGGCATGCCCGGGAGGAGGAGGAGGAGGAGGAGGAGGAGGAGGAGGAGGAGGAGGAGGCGGAGGAGGAGGAGGAGGAGGGGCAGCAGGAGGTACGATCTCCCGACCTCTTCATATATCCTAGCTTGGGCCCTTGAGCCCTGGGCGCGGCTGCCTCGTGGCACGCGCCCGCGTGCACCGCGGCGTGGGCCTCCCCCCCTCGGCCTTTGACCCTCGATCCTGGATCCTCGGTTGCTCCCTCCTCCTCCTCGATCCTCCTCGATGGCCAAGTGGCAGCTCGGGTGCCACCCCACTGAACCCTGCCCAGCAAAAAAAAAGTTGGTGAGCGGCGGGGGCCCAAGGTTGCGAGAGGCGCTCCTCGCTCCGCCTCCTCCGTCGCAACTGCCCCCTCTGCTCCGAGCCCGGGCCCCGCTGCCTCGAAGTGCACGCCCGTGGGGTGCACCGCGGCGCGGTGCCCCCCCATGCCCGCCCGCGCGCACAGCTCCGCCTGCTCGGGGGAGGGGGGGGGGGGCGCTGGACGCAGGGAGGGCGATGTTTGGGGGGGAGGGAGGAGGGGTGGGAGGAGGAAGGAGGGCGCCTCCTCCTCCCCCTCCTCCTCCTCCTCCTCCTCCTCACCGCCCTCCTCGCGTTCGCTCCTGCTCCCCCAGTGTCCTCATCCCCTGCACTCCGCCCACCACTAGTTCTCATCCGACCTCATGCTTCCCAGCCCTCCATTGATGCAGGGAATGCGGGACGAGGTGGGAGGCAGGAGAAGCGGTGAGGGACGGGGAAAGACAAGGGGGGCAGAACAAGGAATGAGAGGGAGAGGCAGAGAGGACTGGGCGCCGGGGAAAAGGCAGACATGAGGGAGGCACTCTGGACAGGGGAGGAACGGAGGAGATAGAGCAGGAGGAGCAGCAGGAGGAACAGGAGGAAGAACACATCCTTCTTATTTCATCTCTCCCCCTCAGCTCCGCCCTCCTCGCTCCTGCTCCCCCAGTTCCCTCCTACCCTGCACTGCACCCGCAACTATTCCTCGTCCTCCCTCACTCTTCCTGGCTCTCCATTCAGCTCCGTCTCTCCCATCGACCTTCTCCTCCTCCTCCTCCTCCTCCTCCTCCTCCTCCTCCTCCTCGTCCTCCTCCTCCTCCTCCTCCTCATCCTCCCCCGATCGGCATCATGATCATCATCGTCATCATCAGCAGCAGCATCAGCAACAGCAGTATCAGAATTATCATCAGCAGCAGCATCATCAGCATCTTCATCATCCTCATCATCCTCCTCCTCATCATCCTCATCATCAGCCACATCCTCATCCTCATCCTCATCATCATCACCATCAGTAGTATCACCATCATCATGTTCATGATCATCAACATCAGCATCATCAGCAACAGCATACTCATCAGCATCATCACCACCGTCTTCCTCATCAGCAGCATCATCATCATCCCCATCAGCATCATCAGCATCATCATCGTCATCAGCATCGCCATCAAACATTATCAACATCAGCATCACCAGCATCATAATCATCATCATCAGCATCATCATCATCAGCATCAGCACCACAATCAACACCACCATCATCATATACAACTTCATCTGCATCATGATCAGCATCATCCTCAGCATCGTCATCATCAGCAGAATCATCAGCATCAGAAGCACCGCCATCGTCAGCATTACCATCGTCATTGACACCGTTATCACAATCAGCAACATCATCATCAATTGCGTGACCAGCATCAACATGAGCAGCATGACCATCATCATGATCATACGAATCGGTGTCACCAATAACATCATCACCACCAGCACTACAGCATTAGCATCATCATCTTCCGCATCGTCATCAGCAGCATTATCATCAACATCCTGATCATAATCAGCATCGGCATCATGACCATCATCACCATCATCAACTAGTCATTACCAAAACCAGCATCAACATCGTCGTTATCATCACCATCATCAGCGGCACCATTGACATATCATGATCACCAGCATCATCCTCGTCATCATGATCACCACCTTCACAATCGCCACCTCCAACACTACCATCATCATCACCAGCCTCGTCACCACAGTCACCACCACCACCATCACTGTCATCGTCATCGTGAGCATCATCCTCACCACCATCATCCTCACCCTCTCAGAGACGCAAGCAGCGATCGCGTGCCGCCCCCTGCGGATGCAGGGCGCGCGGGCCAAGCCGCGGGCCACAAGCCCCAGCTCGACCCAGGGAAGCCCAGAATCGAATCGACAAGTCGCATCGGCGATCGAACTTGATCGGCTCGGCGGAAATCGGCAGCCGAGTCGGGAGAAGCCGCAGCGGCGGAAATCGGCAGGCTAGTGGGCCTCCAGTGAGAAATCGGCTACCCAATCGAGATCCCACATCGAATCGAATCGGAGTCGGGAGCCCCCGGAGTCGAATCGCATCGAAGGAATCGAAACGAGCCCTGCGAGCCCCAGCTCGGCCCGTCCAAGAAGCCCCGCGAGGCCCTGTGGCGAAGGCGGCGCCCCGCAAGGGCCCGGCCCGGCGCACGCGCTGCACGGAGCCGTGCCGCGCAGGCCCACGGCCTCGTGTCCGCAGAGCCGGCGCGCCCCTTCAACCGCCGACCTCGCCTCGCGGAGGGAGAGCCAGCTCCGCCTCCTCCTGATTCTCCTCCTCCTCCTCCTCCTTCCTTCTCCTCATCCTCCTCATCCTCCTCCTTCTCCTTCTCCTCCTCATCCTCTTCCTCCTCCTCCTCCTCCTCCTCCTCCTCCTCCTCCTCCTCCTCCTCCTCCTCCTCCTCCTCCTCCCCCTCCCCCTCCTCCTCCTCCTCCCCCTCCTCCTCCTCCTCCTCCTCCTCCTCTTCCTCCTCTTCCTCCTCTTCCTCCGCCTCCTTCTCCTCCTCCTCCTCCCCTTCCTCGCGCTCACGCGCTACCGACTTCAGAGCAACGCGACTGCTGCCTCATACGCACAGGAGACGACACAACCTTTGATTGAAGAAGTGTCCTGCAAGACCTCCTCCTCCTTCTCTTCCTCCTCCTCCTCCTCAATTCCTTCTTCTTTTAAATAACTCTTGCCTATCGCACTAGAGGCCAGTTATTAGAGTGGGCCTGGTGAGACTTCCTCACCATGTATGACTCTGAAGCACAAAAAGTGACAGTGGTTCCACAGATGGAGGGCGGGTGGTGTTCAACATGTGGCTCTCGCCCGAGCGCCGCGCACACTCGTTCCAAACATTTGCATGAGTTTCACGGATTGCGGGCGGGCGGCTTTCAAAATGTGGCTCTCGCCTCAGCGCCGCACACATTAGTTTGTTTGTTTTTGAAAAATGCAAGACTTGCACGGTTTTCCATGATCAGCCTACCTGAAATTGTATTTGGAAGGTTTCCAGATTATGCGGGCGCAACAGTTATGGTGATTCGCTGTGTCGAATCAAAAATGGCGTTCTGGCTCGACTCTGGATCGCCAAGACGCAGCAGCAAGGTTGATACGTGGCGTTAGAATCCCGAGAAACATGTTTTGGCACGCTTCCGGATCTTCAAACTGTTGTCTTCCAACGAGGCAGTTCCCTCAATGGCAATGAACCGTCGTAGGGGCCTACATCGTTGATGATTATTGGGTTTCCACTGATCCTCCTCCTCCACCTCCTCCTCCTCCTCTGCCTCCCCCTCCTCCTCCTCCTCCTCCCCCCCCTCCTCCTCCCTTTCCTCCTCTTCCTGCTCCTTCTCCTCCTCCTCCTCCTCCTCCTCCTCCTCCACTTCCTCCTTCTCTTCGCGCTCACGCGCTACCCGCGCATGGTACGAGCTCGCCTCTCGAGGGGGAGACAACGCGGTGCAGTCCCAATCAGTCCAGCGTTCGAGAGCGTGGCCCGGGCAACATTTCCTCACCACCCGATGGGGTACGCAGGAAGCGCGGTCTTGATGGTGAGGTGGCACACATCCTCACAGCCAGACGGGGTGCGGACGGGGTGCGGCATGTGTCCGTCCCACCGTCCGCGGCGCGTCCAGGGCGCGTCCGTTCCTTGCCGACGGAAAGGGGTGAGCAGAGGGTGCGGTCTCTATGCGACGCACGCTCCCAGGGCGTGGCAGATTTGGCCTCTCCTCGCAACCAGACATGGCATGCAGGGGGTGCGGTCTGTGCGCTCCTCGTGTCCAAGGCGTGGCAGCGGTGGCACGTCCGCGCTAGCAAGGTGGACGCGCACGGGCGCTGTCTGTCCACCCAGCGCTTCCATGGTGGGGCAAAGATGGCACTTCCGTGCGTGTGCTGCAGGTGAAACCGCTATTACCAATTTACAAAACATGCAACGGCCAGCGAACGCGAACCCCAACCAGTGCGATGTGCAATATGTGTGAAACGAAATGTGTGGTGCGATCGAGCTTGCGCACAGCCGGAATCCGAGGAGCAGAGCTAGGTCGGGCATGTCCTCCTACAGGGGGACTCTGGCCGAAGGAGCAGGAATACTCAAGAACTGTTCAATCAATCGTCAACAAGAATCAACGAATCGTCCCCAAACTACTTTATTCCCTACCTAGGCTCTGCCTAAAAGGGTTCTTACTCTCTAGCTTAAAGGGGCCGGGCAGTGGAAAGCGCCCCGGGCGGTTCCCCCAGTCCCCGCCCCGCGGTTCCCCCAGTCGCGCCCCCTTAGCTTGGCTTAGCTTATCTCGTCTTAGCTTAGCTTGGCTTAGCTTAGCTTGGCTTAGCTTGGCCTAGATTAGCTTAGCCTAATGTAGCTTAGCTTTAGCTTAGCTTTAGCTTAGCTTTAGCTTAGCTTCAGCTTAGCCTCAGCTTAGCTTCAGCTTAGACTTAGCGTAGCTTTAGCTTAGCTTTAGCTTAGCTTTAGCTTAGCTTTAACTCAGTTTTACCTTAGCTTTAACTTAGCTTTGGCTTAGCTTTAGCTTAGCGTTATTTTAGCTTTAGCTTAGCTTTACTGTTACTACTAATGCTGGTTTCCTAGGGGCTCCAACTCCTAGGTAGGGTCGCACTGGGATAATTTGACTCTTGTTGAATATTCCTCCTGTAGATGGGGAATTCGAAGAGTACCGATATCGCTACTCCCCGGACACCTCCCGGGGTGCGTTCTGACCAGAATTTCGAGGCGAATCCGACGGTGGCGACGAGGGCCTCCGAGGAGGCCCAAAAAAGGGAAAACGAGTAAAGGGTGGATGTATGGGTACCTTTTCCTCCTCTGAGTAGAGGAACGTGCCCGACGTCAGGACAGAGGCGGCAGCGATGCTGGCGGCGGCCGCCTGGGGGTGGAAGCCCCTCGGGTGGAGCACCTCCGCCTGCCACGGCTGCTGCATGGGCATGACGGGAGCGGCCTAGCCGTGGGGAGGACGTTGGAAGACAGAAAAAATCGGAGATCTTCTGATCCGGGTCAATCCAGACCAGGGTCAGTCAGGCCTCGCAGACTCCTGCAACATCCTGCACCCAAACCCGGGTAAGTCCTGCAAGATCCGATCCTGCCCCCAAACCCGGTTCAATGCGCCCCTGGTCCTGCAGGATCCTGCAAGATCGGGCGCTCTTGCTGACCCCCATTTACATTGACCCCCGTCTCGAGGCTCCTGAAACGACGGCATGATAAGCGCCTCAGCGAGCCCAAAGCCCTTTCGGAAGCGCGCCCATTGAAAAGAATCGGATCAGCTAGTGCCGTGTAGTATACACGCAGGCCTTCTTAGCAGGCGCAAATGAGATAGATCGAATTGAGATTCCCCCTTGCCAGGATGAGGAGGGACGACGACGTGGAGAAAGGCGAGGTGGAGGTTGAGGCCTCATCGTCGTCGTCGTCGTCGTCGTCGTCGTCGTCGTCGTCGTCGTCGTCGTCGTCGTCGTCGCCGTCGGCCTCCGTGAATGACACTCTGGGGCCGAGCCTCCCGAGAGCCCGCTCTGGCCACGGTCAAATCCCGCACCGTCCCCCCGAGGCCCTGTTCGGAGCCGGCTCCGGGACAGGCCTGGGGAGCAGGCCACGACGGTGTGGACCAGGAGGAGGAGGAGGAGGAGGAGGAGGAGCAGGAGGGGAAGGAGGCGGAGGAGGAGGAGCAGGAGGAGGAGCAGGAGGAGGAGCAGGAGGAGGAGCAGGAGGAGGAGGAGGAGGAGGAGGAGGAGGAGAAGGACCCCCTCACCGTCCAACTCATGGTGGTGGTGTTGGTGGAAAACAGGCCCATCACTGGAGGAAAGAGAACTATGCACATACACCGATTCTGGCCAGGCCCATCCTGAGCCCAGGATCGGTGCATACGCCCTCTTGCCTTGGCCAGGAAGGTATATGCACCGATCCTGGGTCAAGGATGGATGTTGTCAGGATCGGTGCATGTGCATAGCTCTCTTCGCCCGAGGTGTGACAAGGAGCGGGGGGGGGAGACGCTGATCGGAGAGCCAAACCAGCACTAACGTTCAGCAGGTCGAACGATAACTACCAACAGCGCCTTGCCGTTGGAGAAGTGCTCTGGGTGCTCGCGCGCCAGGCGGAAGAGAGAGAGAGAGAGAGCAAGCGACACTCACAGTTCGACTGAGAACGCGAGTGTCACCGGCAGAAGACGAAGCCTGGCCGAGGATCATATCCGACGAGGGCCAATCGGGAATGTCTAAGACCTGGCGGTTCCGGAGGATGTCTCTGGCGCCGCGACCTCCTCGGAGAGTTCCCGAACGCTCTGAGGGCGTTGCAGAACACTCTGCAACGGGTTCATCCTCGTCTCAGCCCCGCCCGGTGATACCCTCTATACCTCCAGATCTGGCGGTTCTAGAGGATGTCTCTGGCGCCGCGACCTTCTCAGAGCGTTCCCGAACGCTCTGAGGGCGTTGCAGAACGCTCTGCAACGGATTCCTCCTCGTCGTAGCCCTGCCACCGGTGATACCCTCCGTACCTCCGAGGCGGGCAAGGCAGAGGAACAGCACTGGGGGGGAGTCTCCTCCTCGTCCTCCTCCTCCTCCTCCTTCTCGCCCTCCCCCCCCTCCTCCTCCTCCTCCTCCTCCTCCTCCTCCTCCTCCTCCTCCTCCTCCTCCTCCTCCTCCTCCTCCTCCTCCTCCTCCTCCTGCTCCCCCTCCCCCTCCTCCTCCTCCTCCTCCTCCTCCTCCTCCTCCTCCTCCTCCCTCCTCCTCCTCCTCCTCCTCCTCCCCTCCCCCCCTCCTCCTCCTCCTCCTCCTCCTCCTCCTCCTCCTCCTCCTCCTCCTCCTCCTCCTCCTCCTCCTCCTCCTCCTCCTCCTCCTCCTCCTCCTCCTCCTCCTCCTCCTCCTCCTCCTCCTCCTCCTCCTCCTCTCCTCCTCCTCCTCCTCCTCCCTCCTCCTCCTCCTCCCTCCTCCTCCTTCCTCCTTCTCCTCTCTCCTCTTCCTCCTCCTCCTCCTCTCCTCCTCCTCCTCCTCCTCCTCGTCCTCCTCCCCCTCCTCCTCCTCTCCTCCTCCTCCTCCTCCTTCCTCCTCCTCCTCCTCCTCCTCCTCCTCCTCCTCCTCCTCCTCCTCCTCCTCCTCCTCCTCCTCTCCTCCTCCTCCTCCTCCTCCTCCTCCTCCTGCTCCTCCTCCTCCTCCTCCTCCTCAAATCAATGAGCATCGAATCGGAATGTGGGAAGATGCCCTCTAGTTCTCTGAGGCGGACTGGGGGGGGGACGAGGGCGGGGGGACGAAGGCAGGCAGTAGACGGGCAAGAGGTCAGTCAGCATCTAATCGGGGAGTCGGAAGATAAGCTCTACACCTCCGGGGCGGGCGAGGAGGAACCACTGGGGGGGAGACGAGAACGAGGGGTGGGGGCGAAAGCAGGGGCGGGAAAGGGGCAAGATCCGTGAGCATCGAATCGGGACCTCGGATCGCACTGGATTGTGCGCGGGATCGGGTTGCATCGGCACGGGGCCGAGGAAAAGGGAAGGTTTCTCTTCCAAGAGGGGAAGGGATGGGTAGGACGAGGACGACGTAGGTGAAGGAAACAGTAAGGGAAGGAGATGGGAAGGGAAGGGAAGCAAAGGGAAGGAAATATGAGGGCGAGCGGAGGGAAAATGGAAAAGGAGGAGGAGGAGGAGGACGAGCAGGGAAGGAGGGAGGAGCGATGGACCGAGGGAACAGGGCAAGGGGCAAAGGGAGGAGTACGAGGACACGAGCAGGGAAAGGGCAGGGGGAAGGAGGGGGGCAGAGGGCGCGACGAGGAGGGGAGGAACGGAGGAGGGGGGGGGGGGGGGCACGAGGAGGAGGAGGGAACGGGAGGAGAAGGGGGGGGGGCGAGAAGATGCTTGGGATGGGGGAGGGGGAGGAGGAGAGGCAGCAGAGCAGACGAGACGAGAGGGAGCCCGCTCGGGAGGAGAGGGCGCCGAGGCGGAGAGGCGCCGCGCCGCTCCTCTCGGGGGGGGGTGCTGGGGGCGGGCGGCGCCCCGTCGGGGGGGGGGGCGGCCTGCCCAGGGCTCGGGCCTGCGGGGGGGCAGGCCTGCGCGAGGCTCGAGGGGGGGGGAGAGGACGGGGAGGGAGAGGAGGGGGACTCGCCATCGCTCGGACGTCGATCTCCCGTGCCGTTTTCGGTTTCGTGCGTGTTTTTTTTTTTTTTGCTCGATGGTCCAGGATCGTCCTCAATGGTTCTCGGCCGAGAAACAATGCACACGTCCGAGCGATGCGGGGGGGGAAGAGGAAGAGATGCAGCGGGGGGTGGGGAGAACCAGGGGAGGGGAGTGATGGGAGGCAGAGGACGGGGAATCGACGGCGACGGCGGGGGCGACGACGACAAAAGAGTCGAACGACGACGACAACCAGGCGCCACGGGGGGGGGGTGGGGGGGGCAGGCCTTCTCGTCCCGCGCGCCCTCGTACTCCGCGTGCATGAGAGGGTGGGCCCAGTAGGACTGCTCCTTCTTCATGTCCCGCGCGACCTTCAACGCGGACCAGAAGGATCATATGAGGATGAGGGGGCATGAGACTCAAGATGAGAGGGGAGCAGGATGATAATCAGGAAGGCGAAGAGAGGAGGACGAGTAGGAGGAAGAGGAAGATGACGAGGAGGAATAACAATAGAAGAGGCTGTCAAGATACATATGGACTCTAAAAGTGCACTCCCTGGACTCCAAAACTGCACTCCCTGGACTCTAAAACTGCACTCCCTGGACTCTAAACTGGACTCTAAAACTGCATATGGAGGAATGACAGTCTCCCTGGACTCTCAAACTGCACTCCCTCGATTCCTCCGAGACATTGGACGCCCCAACACCCTCCGGGCACCCCTAGATTCCCGAAGGACCCCCTGGACTCCCCAAATCCACCCTCTGGACTTTTAAGGACACCCTGGGCACACTGGACTCTGTGGACTCCATGGACTCCTTGGACTCCGTGGACTTCCTAAAAACCCCTTGGACACGCTGGGCTCGCTGGACACCCTCAACGCTCGACTCGCTGGAGTCCCAGGACTCCGTGGACTCCCTGAAGAATCCTGGATTTGCTGGACCCCCTGAACCCCCACGACTCCAAATCAGGAGATTCTCAACCTGACGGGTCCTGTGGACACCCCGGGTTCCGAGGACACCCTTGCTTGACACAATAGACTCCCTGGACTCTCTGGCCGCCCCATGGTTGACTCCCTGGACACCCTGGACCCGGACTCCGCACACTCCGTGGACTCCCTGTAGCCTGCCAGGGCCCCAGTGAGGCGACTACAAACGGCCTCAAACGGTCCAAGAACGCCTCCAGGCGGCCTCACGAGGTCCACCAGGAGGGCCTGAAGAGGCGAAGCTGAGTGACTCCCTTGCAGGTTCCAACATTGCGAATTCAGGCCGATCCCAGCAAAAGGCACCCAAGATCGCCCAAAGACGGCCCGGCATGCCCCGAAGAGGGCACCACGACAGCCCAAGAAGGCCCGAAGAGGCTCCAAGACGGCCTCCATAGGCGCCAGACGGCCCAAGCGCGTCCTCGAGAGCCCAAGAGCATCCGAGCGGGCCCCCGAAGTCTCCCTAAGGCCCAAAACACCAAAAACGAAAGACCCAAGGCAGCCCCAAACGGCAAAATCCCAACGTCTTCCTCCAGTGTTTTTCCCCAAAGACCAGGCTGACATGCGGTTGACCAGCGCGGCCGCGCGAGTCCGCTCGGCACTGGGCATTTCACGGCAAGGCGGTGGCGGGCAGCGGTGACTCGCAGCAGTCGTCTCCTACACGGAAGAGTGGTGCCGGAGCAGGGCGAGCTGAGAATTGAGACACCGCCAGCTCAATTGGTCCCGGGACCCCTCCCAGGGTCCAAACACCAGGGCTGAACCTAAACGGTGTTTTTCGTTTTCGTTTTGTTATCGTTTTCCCTCGTTTTGTCTTCAATCCACCTCTAGCGCAAAGCGAAGTCGAAACGAAAACGGCCCACGAAATCGCCGAAACACCGTTTAGGTCCAGCCCTGCCAAATACACTGTTGGGCGTGGCTTAATGGGGGGGTCACAAATGGGGGGGTCAGAAAAGGTCCCCTTTCGTGCCCCTTTCGGGCCCCTCCAGAGCCCCAGGGGGCTCGTTTAGGTACCGTTTGGGTACCTTTTCGAACCACCCTCGCCACCCCCCCATGTATGACCCCCCCATTACGCGGCGCCCAACACTGGCTTCCCGAGCTGCGTCCGGCCGCAGCGACGAGGGGGCCACCCGATGGCCAGTTGCCGCTGCCTCAACTCGGGAGCGCCCAAGATTCGCGGCGAGAAGGGGCGGGCCTTCCCAGCAGGCTCGGAAGTCCCTGCATGGGCCTTCGGAGAAGTTTCCCGAGCTTCCCCCCAAGACACAGAAGACTTCTCAGGAGGCCAGGGGGCTTCCGAGAAGCCGCGCCGCCTTCTGAGAAGGCCTTGTCCTGCCCGCCTTCCCACTCCCTCGCTCGCCGAATCGGCAGGATATGGGGCGGCCAAGATCGGGGATGGACATACCTCCCTTTAGTAAAACGTGGTTTGGTGAAAACGACTCCGGGCCCAAACCTGGCGGGCGCAAGCCTGGAAAATAACGGCCGCGGCGCCCTCTCGAGAACCGAAAACGGACAATTCACTAATCCACGTGTCAGGGTAGGAGGTCTAGCCGCCTCCGACAAGAGAGGGGGGTCCGTGCAGCACGGGCCCGAGGCAGGCGCACGGCCGAAGGGGGGCAGCATGACGCGCGCAGCGGCATGATGCGAGGGGGCCGTGCCACTCCGGGGAAGCAGGCACGGCTCCCTCCCGACTCCCCCACCCCAGTCATCCCCCCCCTCTCGGACGCCCCTAAGACGGAGCCAGGACGAAGAAAAAAGACAGATCGGGTGGCCCAAACACCACCCCCCTCTCGGACGCCTCTGACGCGAAGCCAGGACACAACAAACCGGGTGTTGGAAAATCCTGAGATCCGGCGGCTCTGGAGGATGCCTCGGGCGCCGCGGCCCTCCCCCAAAGCGTTCGGGAACGCCCTGAAAGCGGTCTGGAACGCCCTGGAACGGACTTCTCCTCGGCCCGGCCCAGTCCGACTCGTAGAGGCCTCCCAGATGGGCTTCGAGCAGGTGGGGTCGGTACGTGTCGGCGTGCGTGCTCGGGCTTGGCCCCGCAGCGCCAGCCGAGCGCGCGTAGCCGGGAACGTCTCGGCCCCTTGTGTAGCAGCTCATGAGAGCCTCCTATTACACCACCCCGTTGGCTCTTGCAAGTCGACGTTCATCGACGCTACAACGACGCGAACCGACGCGAGTCGAAGCCAGTCGACGCCAAATCGGCGCTGCCTCCTCCATTACCAGACGCTGCGCTAGTGCACGCTGGAGACAATCTTACGAGGGTGCGCAAGGTCCCCATGATTTGCGACCGAAGGCCCCCGGCCCCTGGCCCCTGGCCCCGTCAGAACGTTCAGGCATTTCTGAAGGCCTACCATGACATGCTCTTAGAACCCACTGATGTTCTAAGAACAAAAACAAGGTTCTTAGAACATACAGCCGATGATTTAAAACAAGACAGCCCCAGCCAGAAATGTTCTGAAGCGATTTCGTGGAAACCAGAAAAGGTTCTTAGAACATGGTGTGGTAGGCCTATAGGCCCTATAGGCACGCCAGGACGCTTCGCCACTGCTTGAAGTGCACGCTAGAGACAACATTACCAGGGTACACAAGGCCCCCATGATTTGCGACCGAAGGCCCCTGGCCCTTGGCTCAGCATCGTTTAACCGATCCCCATCCCCAGCGGCGTGGCCTGGGCCCCACTCGCCGATTTCCCCCCTAGATGGGGACATCGGCCTGTCCCTTCGGGCTTCGAGGGGTATCTCCGACTGGGGTGGTAATTTGGTGGGGGTCTCGAAGGGGATGAGGACGGGGAGGGGGGTCGTTTAAACGATACTGACTGGCCCCGTCCGAACGCCCCCGACCCACTCGCCCCCCTCCGACGACGGAGGACCACACGGCGGCCGCGGCAGCGGCCCGCGGGAAGCCTCTGGCGCGCCGAGCACCCACCCCGGCTCGGGCGGCCCCTCCGCCAGCTCCGACGGCGGCGCGAACCCGAGCAGGTCGCCTCGGGGATGGAGTCCCGAAACAGTGCGGTGACAGACCGTGCGGTGACCTCGACATCCCCCAGGACCTCACCGCACGGTCCGTCCACGCACGGTTTTGGGACCTCGGATGCCAGGCGCCCGAGACGTCCTCGGAGAACGACCCGAGTCCCAAAACTGTGCGGTGGCCCCGACCCCCACCGACTCACCACACGGTGTGGTCACCATCCCGTTTGGGGGCTCTCCACTCTGGGATCTTCTGAAACGGGGCAATCCTAGAAGAGAAAACCACATAAACAGAAACTGTTGGGGCTCCGCTCGGATTTCTTGGATCTGCGCCAGGGGCGGCGCCGGAAGCGCCGCCAGGGGGGCCCAGGCGCGGATCCGAGAAATCCGCGCGGAGCGCCAAAAAATTATGTTCATGTGGTTTTTGCTTCTTCGAATCCAGACCCGGGTCGGTCCGGCCTCGCAGACGCCTGGTGGCTCCTGCACCCAAGCCCAGGCCAATGCGGCCATGGCCCTGCAGGATCCTGCAAGAGCAGGCGCTCTGACAGACCCCCGTCTGAATGGACTGGTGAACCCAGAAGATATCGACACTGCTTCGGGTGTTGCTAGACGTACCCCTGGCCCAAGGTGCCCCCAGCTTTTCGCTCCTTTCTGGAACCCCGAAGGCCCTCTTGACTTCGTGAGGGGTGCCCCGGAGGCCGTTTGGGCCCCCCCGGGAATCCTAGGGGTCCCCTGGGCCAGGGTACTCCTCCTCCTCCTCCTCCTCCTCCTCATCAACTTCCCCCTCCCCCTCCTCCTCCTCCTCCTCCGCCTCCGCCTCCTCCTCCTCCTCCTCCTCCTCCTCCTCCTCCTCCTCCTCCTCCTCCTCCTCCTCCTCCTCGTGAGGGGGGCCCAGGGGCCCAGGGTACCCCTGGGCCAGGGGTACCCTGGGCCAGGGGTACTTCTAGCAACACTGCTACTCCCCGGACCTCTCCCGGGGTGCGTCCCGACCTGCATTTCGAGGCGCATCCCAAAAGTGGCGGCGCGGGCCGCCCAGGAAGGCCAAAAGGGGGACAACCACAGGGGAAGGGTAGTGGTAGGGGTACCTTCGACTCGTCTGAGTCTTCGGTTTCTCCCATCGCACTTCAGAACCACATCACCGCAAGAAATCTCGAGCACTCAGACATGTATCGAAAACGCGTCGAGCGAGTATCGCCTCCCAGGTCCCGACGCGTGAAAAAGCCCTCAACTTTCGGTACTTCCTTGGTGCTCGAAGTTCTTTCTGGTGATCGAGGCTAGAATAGGCTGGAACATTACGTGGCACCTCGCAGATGCGGATAAGAATAAGGGGGCGGTGGGGACGTCGGCAGTCTGCGAGACTCTGGAGAAGCCCGCCGCATGCGCCGATATTTTTCGTTAAGCCAACAAGGGTAGATCGCGGGTGGGTCGGGGGTGGGTTGCAAATGGGTCGCGGCTGGGACACGGGTGGGTCGCTGTTGGGTCGCGGCTGGGTCGCGGCTAGGTCGCGGGTGGGTCGCCGGGTGGGTCGCGGGATGGGTCGCGGTTGGGTCGCCGGGTGGGTCGCGGGGTGGGTCGCGGGTGGGTCGCGGGGTGGGTCGCGGGTGGGTCGCGGGTGGGTCGTGGGTGGGTCGCGGGATGTGTCGCGGGTGGGTTGCGGTGTGGGTCGCGGGGTGGGGGCAACCTCGCGTTGTGCAGTCCCCCCGGCATTGCGATGTCGAGCCGGAAGTCTGCGCAGGACGTCACTCAGCTGGACCCCCCACAACCTCCGAAAGCGGCGACAACTTCGCAAACCGTACTAATCCCCAGGATGGCAAGGTTTAGTCCAAATCCGCGTATGACGTCACCCCGCTGGGCCCCCGCAACAGCCCCCCAAAGTGATGACACTTTCGCAGATAGCAGCCCCCAACGATGGTGAAGTCTGATAAGAGTCTGCGCATGACGTCAATCCGGTGGGCCCCCCGACAACCCCCCTGCGTCTCCAGCACGGCGAAGCTCGACAGCGATGCCACCCAAGAAGCGGAAACGGCACCCAATCTACGTTGGACGAGGCCGCGGCCGGACGCACCCTGGCCGAATCGCCAATCCGCCACGTCGACCGACGTTGGCGATTGGCGCAGGACGCCGGCCGAAGAACATGTGTACCAACCATGCCCATCTCAAACGGTGTGCATGGGCAAACCATGCCCATGCACAACGTACTTCGGGCGCGACCGCGGTCGCGCCCGAAGTACCATGGCAAACGGACGCGCCGCGCGTCGCTCCAAAGCTGGACCAAAGCTGCGTCATGGCAAGCAACGGACAGCACCTTGGGCGGACGCCCTACCTTAGAGTGCGTAATAAACAGGCATGGCGCCGCAGGCATGACCGGGCATTTGGTATCCCGCCCCGAGGCCAGGCGGCAGAAAGGCGACCGGGCTCGGAGAGGGGGCCGGCCAGCGAGAGGAGACACCGACGCACGGCCGCGCGGCATCCCAGCACACCAGCGCGGGAGCCACGCCCGCGCGACACACGGCGGCACGCGGCGGGTGGTCATGCAGCCGCCCGCCGTCGCGCGTTGCGCCGACTGCGGGGCTCCCCCGCCCCCGCGCCATCCGACTTTTGATTTGCGCTAGCAAGGTGTTATTGCCCCGAGAGCGGCGACAGCCTTGCGCGTCGCAGCCCCCCATCGACGGCGAGGTCGAACCTGAATCTGCGTATAGCAGCACTCCGTTGGACCCTTGCAGCAGCCCTCGACAATTGCGATGGTTTTGCGCCTCGCAGCGCACCAGGGATGGCGAGCCCGGTGGCAGAGGTCGCAGGCAGGCAGAAAACAGGTAACTGGCAGGGTGGAAGAGAAGAAAAGGGAAAAGGGGAGGAGGGGGGCGCGTTCGGCAGAAGTTCGCTGGCGTGGCGCACCGTCGCCGGCGATCGCGGCATTCCGCATCGCGAGCGGCGTCATCCAGAGCTGCGCGCTGTCAGGCGCGCTCTTCTCTCTCTCCGCGGTTCCGACGCTCCACCGCATTCGTCTCGCCCTGGATCTCCCTGACACCGCGGCCATGCGTGCCTGTGCCAACGACGTTGCCGTCGTGCTCTTCTCGATTCATGCCCCCCCCTCTGCTGGTCTTGGTCGCGGCGGCTGCCGCCGAGTACGCCGCGCTCCACCTGCAGCTTGCTGAGTGCTTCCTGGCCCCTCCGTTCACGTCTCTCTGCGAGGAAGTCCAGCTCCGCGGCGAGAAAAAAACCTCCTGGCCTCGCGCGTCCCGCCGTGCTGCCGACGCGCTGGAGTACGTGGGCTGCCGGTTAGGTCCCGCGGCCACGGCTCTCGATTCCTCCCGGGCACGCTGGCGGGAGCACTGGCAGCGCGTGCAGCGCCTCTCGATGACATCGGCGCCGCTGTCCATTCGCGCGCACGTCTACTTCGCGCGGGTCGGCCCCGCGATGTCGTGCGTGGTCCAGTTCTTCGTCGTGCCTGCTGAGTTCGGCAAGCGCGCGCTACCCAGCCTTTGGAAGCTTACTCGACACCATGGTGCTGCTCTTCGACGCGAAGACTACTCCACCGGGCGGGAATGGGGCGCTCCCGAGCTCGCGTCGGCCCCTGCGACGGCGCATGCGATGCCGCTCCGATCGGCGACGCTTACGCGCGCCGCCGTCTACGAATACCTGCGCGCGCTCAAGGAGGCTGCGCGACGGTGGGTGGATCGCCGCCCTATTGCTGATCTCGTTGCTGGCCTGTCTCCTAGCTCCTGGCTGTCGCCCGCCATCGCGGAGACGCTTGACCTGGCTGCTTGCGGTCGCGCTCCTGCTCCTCACCGCGCGTGCTCGGTGCCAGCCTGGCGCTGTGGACTGCCGCCTCATCGTTGGCCACGCCAACGCGCGGCCACCGCAGATCGCCGTCTGGGCCATCCTGGAACACATGACCGCCCTATCTGGGCGTCCGCTGCTCGTCGTCCACGCCCTTGCTTGCGTACTCCTCGATTTGTGGGTCAAATGGTGCCCGCGGTGGCGGTTTCCTCTTCGTTGCCGTCTTCCTCGGGCGTGGACGTGTTCCTGCATTCGTGCGCTTGCTGGCGGCTGGCCTAGCTCGACGCGCATCGCGACGGCCGCTGGCGCTCGGCATTGCCTCTTCGGCTGCGACTCATTGCTGGGCGACTTCCCGCGCTACCTGGAGTGCCGCGGACTGCTGGGGCTTGGCGATGGCGTTCCTTGGGGGGCGGTATTATCTGACTACTGACCAACTCGCCCGCTGACCCGTGTTTCGCTCTGACGCCGAGTCTGTCGAGTTCCTGATCATGGCTACGTCGCTCTGTCATTATGTGCGGCATCGTGATCGTTTTCCTCCCGCTGACCTCCTGGCCACTGCCGAGGCCGCGATCGAGTTCGAGAAGCTTGCGAACGCCCCCATGCACCACGATGTCAAGCTGTCTGCCTGCGCTCAAGCCGCAGCTCGCCGCGACGAGGTCTTTTACCATGGGGTCCAGACCCTCGCCGGCAACACCGATGTGCAAGACCCGCCCTTTTCCTCGAGTTCCTCATTTTCCCCATCTAGGTCGGCCCCTTCCCCTCCGAGGATGGGCGTTGTGGACAAATCCTGTTCCGTGGATCTCATTGCCCTATCTCCCGGAAGTCGCGGCGATGATCTCGGGGCGGGCCGCCGCCGCGCGGCGGACGCGCGATCGGCGACCGCGCCCTCTGGTTCGTCCTCCTCTTGAGCGCAGTCGGCTGCCATCGCTGACCGCGCCATCGACGCGCCGGGCGCTATTGCCCCATCCCGTGAAGCCCCGGAGGCGACGATAGCGGCGAATAGCTCAGGGGGGGGCACACCCAGTTGCGGATAAGAGGGGGCTGCGGGGACGTCGGCAGTCTGCGAGGCTTTGACGAAGCCCGCCGAGAGCGCAAAACTTTGCAAGCTATACAACGAGCCCGCCGCAGGCGCCGATTTTTTGTGAAAACAATGCAGGTGGGTCGCGGGTTGGGTCGCGGGTGGGTCGCGGGTGGGTCGCGGGTGGGTCGCGAGCGGGTCGCGGGGTGGATCGCAGGTGGGTCGCGGTTGGGTCGCGGTTTATTCGCGGGGTGGGTCGCGGGTGGGTCGCGAGGTGGGCCGCGGGTGGGTCGCGGGGCGGGTCGCGGGGGGGACGAAGACAACAACAACAACAACAACAACAACAATCACTTTACCCGAACGCTCAGTTTTCTCACCAGTGCCAGGGTTTTCATGCGACGCCAGCCAATACCCCCACTTTGTGGGGGGGCAGTGCAAGCTCTACCAAATATCCACACGACTCTTCGCCACCACCCACACCCAGCTTCCCGCCCTATGACGTTCGGACACTTCACTTCGTGGCCTGCGGACGACCGTGGCTACTACACTGGCGTGGAGTACACACCCACAGAAGTTGTTAGGACAGCGCGCGCGGGTGGAAATTTTGAAAAGTCGTGCAGGTGTTTTTCGAGGACCTACGGTGCGATTCGTGTGATTTTATGATGCGCGGTGGTAAAATTCTTAAGAAACCCAATGGTTTTTGGAGATTTCGGCGTGCGCGCGCGAAGAAAAAACGAATGTGTCCCGCATGGTATTATTTGACAGGGATGATGGCCCTGGCAGGTGCGCAACCGTTGTCGCAGAAGTTCGAAAAAGTTGCTCGCAAAAGCCCGTTTGACAGAAATGTTTAAAAAGTGTTGGGTTTCCTACGAATCCGCAAGAGCGCGCGGGATGAGATTTTGACATTTTTTTGTTGAAAAACCATTAGTTTTTTGATGTTTTTATGTTGAAATCGCTCCGAACACTAAGCTTTTGGAAGGATTTCGTCTTGCGCGCGCGAATGTCCACTTTACCTTATTTTTTGCAAGGGATTCTTGAAATTTGATTATATTAGAACAAGAAATGTCATTTTATAGTGTTTTTTGCAAGGGAAAGCGGGGGGGAACAAAACAACCGGATCCGGACATAATCCACTTTTCTGAAGCTTTCGCGAAAAAATGATGAAAATGTAGCTGCGGCCTAGGTTTTGGAGGGGGGTCGCGCACCAGGGGTCCCAACAATAATTATTCTTTAGAAGTAATAATGTTCAACAACAACAACAACAACAACAACACAACAAACAACAACAACGACGACGACGACGACGACGACGACGACGACGACACCAACAACAACAAGCAGGATCCTCACAACGGATCGGCAGTTCAGCCACGCACCCAGGGACAATGAATGACCGTTCGGCCCCCTCACTCTGATAATATGAGTCTCTATGGGGTCGAAGTAGATAGGGTCGGATGATCGCGCCGCATCGCCGATACATTGGCGATGCATCGGCGATGCATTGGCGATGCATCGGCGATGCACCGGCGATGCATCGTCCAGGTCGGCGAAGCATCGGCGACGTCGACGTTTGAGCATCGGCGACGTCGACGTTTGACAGAGTCTCTGAGCCCCGATCGCCAACGCCTAGCAGCCGGCCAAAAGGATGAAAAACACATAAACCTAAACTTTCGACGGTCAGCGAGGATTTCTTGGATTTGCGCTGGGCCCCCTTCCCTGGCGCGCGGAGCGCGCCAAGGGCGGCGCCGCAGGCGCCGTGATAGCGGGGGCCCAGCGCGGATCCGACAAATCCGCGCGGAGCGCCAAAAGTTTATGTGTATGTTGTTGTTGTTGTTGTTGTTGTTGTTGTTGTTGTTGTTGTTGTTGTTGTTGTTGTTGAACATTATTACTTCTAAAGAATAATTATTGTTGGGGCCCCTGGTGCACGACCCCCCTCCAAAACCTAGGCCGCAGCTACATTTTCATCATTTTTTCGCGAAAGCTTCAGAAAAGTGGATTGTGTCCGGATCCGGTTGTTTTGTTGACGCTCGTTTTCCCTTGCAAAAAACACTATAAAATGAAAATTCTTGTTTTTACTTGATCAAATTGCAAGAATCCCTTGCAAAAAATAAGGTAAAGTGGACATTCGTGCGCGCAAGACGAAATCCTTCCAAAACCTTAGGTTTCGTAGCGATTTTAACATAAAAACATCAAAAACCCAATGGTTTTCTCAGAAAAAATTGTCAAAATGTCCTTCCGCGCGCTCTTGCGGATTCCTAGGAAACCCACCAGATTTTAAACATTTCTGTTAAAAGGGCCTTTGCGAGGAACCTTTTCAGGTGCTTCGACCTTCTGCAACAACGGTTGCGAGCCTACGAGGGCCACCATCCCTTGCAAAAAATGACACGAAGTGCACATGCGCGCGGCCGCCGCGCGCGCGTGCCGAAATCCTGCCAAACATAATGTGATTTCAATAATTTCAAGATGCCAACCTCTGCGGGTGTGTACTCCACGCCAGTGTAGTATCCACGATCGTCCGCGCGCCACGAAGTGAAGTGTCCTGACGTCATAGGGCGGGAAGCTGGGTGTGGGTGGTTCCCGAGAGTCGTGTGGATGTTTGGTAGAGCTTGCATTGCCCCCCCACGAAGTGGGGGTATTGGCTGGCGTCGCATGAAAACCCTGGCACTGGGGAGAACACTGAGCGTTCGGGTAAAATGATTGTTGTTGTTGTTGTTGTTGTTGTTGTTGTTGTTGTTGTTGTGTTTCGAAGGTTGGAACATCATAATCTGAGTCTCTGAGCCCCGATCGCCCACGCCCATCGGGAGCGGCCAAGAGGGGGGTGTCCAAGAGGGGGGGGTGCAGATCATGACCGGCGGTACGTGCGCGGCCCAGGGGGGGAAGCCCGGGACGTAACGAAACAAGAAGAGGCGCCATGAAATCTGGGGAGACATCATGGCCCCCACCATGACATCCAACCCCCCCTAGTCACCACCCCCCTCTTGCCCGCTCTGAGTCTCGTGAGCCCCGATCGCCCACGCCGAGGTCGGCGAGGCGTCGGCGACGTCGACGTGAAGCAAATCGGGCTGCGCATCGAGCCGCATCGCCGATGCATCGGCGATGCATCGGCGATCCTCCGACCCCATCTACTCCGACCCCATCTGGGAGGCCTAGAGTCTCGTGAGCCCCGATCGCCCACGCCCAGCAGCCCGCTGGCGCAGCCCGCCGCCGCGCCGCCCGGCCACGGCGCAGCCGCTCCCGGCGGGGCCCCGTGGGCCGGGAGCGGATGCCACGGCGGCTCGCCCAGTGGCGGGGCCTCGTGGCCGAGGGGCAGGTGCTCCTCGCGGGAGAGAATCCTGCTCCTCCTCCTTCTCCTCCTCCTCCTCCTCCTCCTCCTCCTCCTCCTTCTCCTCCTCCTCCTCCTCCTCCACCTCCTGCTGCTACTCCTCCTCCTCCTACTGCTCCTCTTCCTCCTCCTCCTACTCCTCCTCCTCCTCCGCCTCCTCCTCCTCCTCCTCCCACCGCCGCCCTCGTCCTCCTCCTCCTCATCTTCCTCTTCCTCGGGAGAAGCTGAGGGGGCCCCGGGACACACACGACGAAGCACACACAAATCCCAGGATTCCCCATATTGTCCCATGTCTTCTGGGTGGTTTTCGTCTTCCCCACACTTCCCTGACTTCCCATATTTTCTCGGGAGTCGACGATTACTTGTGTCTGTGTTTTCTTCCCTCCTGAGAAATAAGGTTTCGATGCCGCTGCTCGTCCTGGGAAGCCCTCGTCGCCACGGCAAGAGGTTTGTTGTCGTTGGTACTGCTGGTGTTGCTGTTGTGCTGTTGCTGCTGTTGTCGCTGAGGTTGTTGGTGCTGTTGCTGTCGTCGTCGTTGTCGTTGGGTTGTTGGGTTGTTGGTGTAGTCGTTGATGTTGGTGTGGGTGTTGTTGGTGTTGCTTTTGCCGAGATTGTGTTTTGGTGTGTGTTGTTGTGTTTGCTGGTGTCGTTCGTAGTGTTGTTGCTGTTGATGTTGGGATTGGTGTTGTTGGTGTTGGTTGATTGTGATGTGTCTAGTGATGATGTGCTGTGGTTGCTGGTATGATGGTGTTTATATTGCTGTTGTTGTTGCTGGTGGTGTTGTTGCTGTTGTTGTTGTTGCTGTTGTTGGTGCTGCTGTTGTTGTTGTTGATGGTGTTGCTGCTGTTGGTGTTGCTGTTGTTGCTGCTGTTGGTGTTGTTGATGTTGCGGTTGTTGCTGTTGCTGCTGCGGTTGTTGTTGTTGTTGGTGGTGTTGTTGTTGGTCTTGTTGTTGTTGCTGTTGCTGTTGCTGTTGATGTTGTTGTTGTTGGTGGTTTTGTTGTTGTTGTTGTTGTTGCTGTCGTTGTTGTTGGTGTTGTTGTTGTTGGCGTTGTTGTGTTTGTCGTTGTTGTTGGTGTTGTTGTTGTTGTTGGTGTTGCTGTTGTTGTTGTTGTTGTTGCCGTTGTCGTTGTTGTTGTTGTTGTTAATGTTGCTGTTGTTGTTGTTGTTGTTGTGGTTAGTTGTTCGTTGTTAGTTGTTAGTTGTTAGTTGTCAGTTGTTAGTTGTTGTTGTTGTCGTTGTCGTTGTTGTTGTTGTTGTTGTTGTTGTTGTTGTTGTTGTTAGTTATTAGTTGTTAGTTGTTTGTTGTTGTTGTCGTTGTTGCTGTAGCGGTCGTTCTCAGCGGCGAGCGAGGGGGAAGTGGGAAGGACAAGGCCTTCTCAGAAAACAGCAGGACTTCTCAAACGACCTCGCCCTTTCCGGGGCCGTTTCCGTGTCTTCGGGGGGGGGGGGCTCAGAAAACTTCTCGGAAGTCCGGCGGACCTCCGAGCCGTCTCGGGGCCGCGGATCGAGGCTCGAGGGTCGAGGATCGAGGCTCGAAGGGGCGAGGATCGAGGATCGAGGCTCGAGGGTCGAGGATCGAGGCTCGAAGGGGCGAGGATCGAGGATCGAGGATCGAGGGTCGAGGGTCGAGGGTCGAGGGTCGAGGGTCGAGGATCGAGGATCGAGGGTCGAGGGTCGAGGGTCGAGGGTCGAGGGTCGAGGCCCGAAGGGTCGAGGATCGAGGATCGAGGATCGAGGGTCGAGGGTCGAGGGTCGAGGGTCGAGGGTCGAGAATCGAGGGGCGAGGATCGAGGGATCGAGGGGCGAGGGGGCGAGGGGGCGAGGGGCGAGGATCGAGGGCCAGGGTCGAGGGATCGAGGGGCGAGGGGGCGAGGGGGCGAGGGGCGAGGATCGAGGGGCGAGGATCGCTTCCCCCCCGGGCTCGCCGCCGACGGCAGCCTGGGGAGGGGGGGGCCCTGGGCAGCGGCAGCGCTCGCGCGGGGTGGGGCACGTCGAGGCGGGGGTGCGCCGCGATCGCCACAACGTGCGCGCGAGCACCAACATGGTGGGCCTGTCTTCCACCACCACCACCATAAGTTGGAGGGGGAGGGGGTCCTCCTCCTCCTCCTCCTCCTCCTCGTCCTCCTCCTTCCCCCCTCCAACTTCTGGTGGTGGTGGTGGAAAACACGCCGTCACAACATGTGGGGGGGGTCCCACCCCCCCCATTGGTGTCCGTTCCATGGGAGCCTGCGTGGCCCCCGGCGCGGTCCGACTTGGGCCTGGACTTGGCACAAATCTGGACCGGAGTTGGACCAGATTTGGACTGGACTCGCGGGGGCTGGAAGGACGAGGAGGGGGAGGGGAAACAGGAGGGGAGAGGAGGAGCGGGAGGATGGGCAAAATGCGGCCCTTAAGCGGTCCGAACGCAAGAGAGGCTGATTTCAAAGTCGCCACCGAAGGCTCCCATGAACAGACATCGAACCCCTGCCTCCTACGCACGATCATTAGCGTCACCCGGATACTGGTCTGACCCTTGCAGCGACCGCTACGCGCCAGAACATAGATCCAATGAAGTTCTCATATAGGGGTGTAGCGAACGGCCTGACGCCAAGCTTCAAAAGAGCAAGCGTGAAGCTGCAGCCTTGAGCTTGAGCTTCGGGTTGCCACCGTTTCGCTGCTAGAGGTCGACCGTATGATTACGAATTCTGCGTGCAAGCCGAATGTGTTTTGAGGAGGCCGCGGGAGGTGCGAAGCGCGCACGGTTACCCACGATGACGACGACGACGACAGCAACACTATTGGTTTTGCATTGCATGTGCTTGTGTCTTGTCATCTAATTGTGCGTTGCACTTGTTGTCAGCAGTGCAAAACACACAGCTTCAGAGAGCCGCTGTGACGCTGCCAGAAGTTGACTTCTATAAAGTTCTTAGCTGTGTAGCGCACGGCGGGACACCAAGCTTCAAAATAACAAGCTTGAAGATTATGCCTTGAGCTTGAGCTTCGGAGTGCCGCGCTTTCGCCGCCAGAGCTCGAGCATATGATCATGATTATGCGTAAGAGGCGAATGTGAATTCAGCAGGTCCAGAGAGGTGCGAAGTGCGCAGCACCAACCACGACGGCAGCAACACAGCTTGTTGCACATTGCAGTGTTGTATTGCTTCGTTTGTTGTGCAATGCAATGTTGGCCTTGTCGGAGAACCGCTGTTTCGCTGCTGGAGCTTGCACTCATTGTTACGGTTCTGCGTGCGAGCCAAGTGTGATTTGAGGTACGGGGCGGTGCGAAACACGCAGCGCCAACCACGACGACGCCAACAGAAACGGTGTTATGTGTCACGCGTGCGTTGCAATTGTGTTGAATTGCTTCGCTTTTTGCAATGCGACACTGACCGGCATCGGAGAGCCGCTGGTTCTTAGCTAGGGCTTGGACACATGCTTAAGTCGGGCGTGTCCCCCTACAGGGGGATTTTGGGCGAAACATAAAAGATACTCAAAACATGCTCAACAGATGCCCCAAAATACTCAAAACATAATCCCCATATTTTTTGACTATTCTTGAATACTCCCCCATGTAGAGGGACAGGCCCGACTTACACATATGCCCATGATTACGACTGCGGGCCGAATGCGGTTGAAGGAGGTCCACGGAGTAGCGACGCGTGCAGCGCCGACCACGACGACACCAAAGCAGTGTCCTCTATTGCTGCTTTTCAATGGGCCCAAGGACACACAAATAGATACACACCAATAGTAGGATTCCCCATATGTTCCCATATGTTCTGGGTTGTTGTCTTCCCCCCACTTCCCATTCCTATATTTCTGGGGAATCGACGATTCGTTGTGTCTGTGTGTGTTTGTTCCCCTCCTGAGCTTTTCCTGCATTAAGCATTGGTTTGCAATGGAATGCTGGCCTGCTCTGCAGTGCAACTGTTTCGCTGCTAGAGCTCGAATATTGTGTACTGCCGTCGCGTTGCGCTGCATATGCTGTTGCGAAGCAATTCTAGTCTGCTGCAGAATGTCGCTGTGCCGCTGCTAGATCCTTGACTTAAGAGTATGATTCCGCAGGCGAGCAAAACGCGGCATAGGTAGGTTCAGGGCGGTGCGAAGCGGGCAACGCCAACCACGACGACTAGAGCAAACCTATGTCATGTTGCATTGTAAGTTTGGTCTGCCTCGGAATGCCGCGGCCTCGCTGTTTGAAGCCAAAACTTGCACTTGCGATTGCGATGCCGCGTGCGTTTGAGGGGGTCCACGGAGGTGCGACGCGCGCAGCGCCAACCAGCACGACATCAATGTGATTGGCGTTGCATGTTGCTTTGCATGGCAGCGTTGCTAGCATTGCAAATCGTTGGGGGCATGCAGTGTTGATGTGCATCGGACAATTGTTGTTTCGTTGCTACAACTTGGGCTTCTGATTCCGCGTGCGAGCCGAATGCTGTTTGAGCATGTCCAGGGCGGTGCGAAGTTCGCAGAGCCAACCACGATTACAAACAAAACATATGTTGTGCATTGCCGTCGCGTTGCACTGCACATTCTCTTGCGAAGCAGTTCTAGTCTGCTGCAGAATGCCGCTGTGCCGCTGCTAGATCCTCGGCTTAAGATTACGATTCTGCAGGCGAGCCGAACGCGGCGTGAGTAGGTCCAGGGAGGTGCAAGGCGCGCAGCGCCAACCGCGACGACTACAGCAAACCCATGTTCTTCTGCATTGAACGTTTGGTCCGCCTCATTGCACCCAAAACAAACTGCGGCGCTGGGGCAGGGCTGTTTCGCCTGGAGAGGTTTCGCACAATCTCCTGGATCCCCCTCCAAAGTCCAGTCAGAAAGCGCCCCAGGAGAGACCTGGGGAGCAGCGGTACCCGTCGGCTGGAAGAAGTGGGCAGAAACATCGAGTGGGGAGGCGCTCGAAAAACATCGGGCTCCCGCCCGCCCCCCAGGGAGAGGCGGGAAGAGGACGCGAGAAAGCAGGCAGGCGCCCGAGGACGCAAATCAGGCTCTGGGAACCCACACATGAACCGCTCTCCACGACCGACGGGTCACGTACGGGCATCCCTTTGCTGCCCCAGAGCTCCACCGCGTCGGCCGCCCGGGCCACGCCCCGCCTCTCCGGCGGCACGCCGAGGCCGCGCGGGCCCTCCCGCGGCGGCGGGCGCTGCGGCCCGGCGCCCGGCTGCGTCGCCCAGGCCAGCGGGGGGGCGGCGAGCGGCGGCTCGGCGCGGCCCGGCGCCTCGGCCGGGCGGCTCGGCAGCACCTCCGGCAGCGGGGCTGGGTGGCCCCGCGGGGCGGCGGAGGGCTGCGGGGGCGGCGGCGCGCGCGGGTCGAACAGGGGCTCCAGCGGGAAGATCGGGGGGGGCGTAGAGGGGGCGGGCAGGCGGGGCACGTGCCGCCGAGGCCCCCATGCCAAAAGAAAGCACCCTGCCTGCCTCCAGGGGTGCCCGAAGGGTGCCGAGGGCTCTGCAGCGGAGAGCGCCACGTCCCCCCAGCCAAAGTCCATATGGACACCCTAGGGTCTCAGGGTCGGGTTTCTTGGGGGAAGGTCCCTTGTGGACCGGCCTCCACTGCACAGGAGGAGGAGGAGGAGGAGGAGGAGCAGGAGGAGGAGGAGGAATAGGAGAAGGAGGAGGAGGAGGAGGAAGAGGAGGAGGAAGAGGAGGAGGAGGAGGAGGAGGAGAATGAAGTTGCTCCCTTGCAGGGCTGGCTGGAGGAGGAGCGGAGGGGCCGAGGCTGGCCAAGGCGGGCCTCGGCTGCGAAGGCGCCCCCTCGCGGCCCAGACCTCTGGCAGCAGCCCCGGGAACCAGGGGCCGCTCGGAGCCCGAAGCGGTTCGGCAGGTCAGCGTCCTGACTGTTTCATGGGCACCTGACGTAGGAAGGTACCAACTATACACCAACACCGATCCTGGCCAGGATCACCCTGGGCCCAGGGTGATCCTGGGCCAGGATCGGTGTTGGTGTATAGTTGGTGCCCTCCGATGACGGGGTACGGGCGGAGGCAGGGGTGGGGCCTGATTTAGGACGGGCACGTTCCCCTACAGGAAGGGAAGAAAACACAGACAAAACACGTGTCCAAGAACTGTCAAACATGGTTATGATAGAACAGTCGCCCACGGACTATGTTTCGACTGTTCTTGAATTCTCCTCCTGAAGAGAGGCATGCCCGACTTGAGGCTGGAGGAAAACCGCTCCACAAACGGCCCCTTCTAAGAAGGGAGCGCGAGCGTCCAACTGGGCTCGCCCCCCAGCCCCGGAGAGAGACGACGACGCATCGCGGTTCTCAAACAGCGGCCCCCGAAGTCCCGATCCTTTCCCCAGAGACAGATCCTGATCCTATACTCGGACTCCATCTGGTTCCTAGATCAAACCCCGCCCTCCTCTACTAAAGGGGCCCAGGGACACACAAATGCATAGACACACATCCCAGGATCCCCCATCTTTCCCCATCCATTCCCTGGGTTTTCGTCTTGCCCCCCCCTTCCCACACTTTCCTATGTTTTCCTGGGGATCCATGCCTGATCCGGGGATGGACAGCATGCCGTTCAGCAAAACGTGGTTAAGTGAACAAAAACCGCCCCCGGGCCAAAACCTGGAGGGCCGCAAGCCTCCGCGGCGCCTCCTCGAGAACCGACCGCGGACACCTCCCGAAGCGACGGGTCGGGGCGGGGGTTCCGCCCACCCCGCTTGCTGGTGCTAAGTGCTAAGTCGGGCCTGTCCCCCTACAGGGGGATTTCGGACGATAAAATAAAAAACAGTCAAACAATACCCTTGAAATGCTCAAAAATGGTCCACAAAATCGTCCACAGACTATTCTTGAATATTCCCCCCTGTAGAGGGACAGGCCCGACTTAACGCTGGCTGGTGCTCGTTCGGCGGTGAACAAACCTCCCTTTAGTAGACCTCCCCTTAGTGAAAACGGCCTGGGACCGAAACCAACGGACCTGGACCCGCAAAAAGGACGGCCGCGACGCCCTCTCGCGCACCGAACACGGCCAATTCCTTAATCGACGTGTCAGGGTAGGAGGTCTGTCCACCCCCGATAAGGCGGCCACATGTGAACCCTAGCCCTACCCCCCAGGACTTCTGAGGGGGAGGGTGGGGTTCACTTCGTTCGGGACCTCCCGAGCGAAGTGAACCCCACCCTCCCCCGCCGAAATCGTGGGGGGCAGGGGTGGGGGTTCGCCTGTGCCCCCCCCCCGACTCGTGCGCCCCCTCCCCGCCCCGATCTCTACGCACCCCCGAGAACAGGGCGCCCGCGGCGGCCCCCCCGCGCGGCGCGCCCCCGCCGCCGCCGCCGCCCCGCGCGGCGCCGGCGGCCGCCGGCGGCGCCCCGTCGAACACGGCGAGCGGGCGCGCGCCCGCGCCCGCGGCGGGCGGCGGCGGGCACCCCGCGCCGGGCGCCGCGGCCTGCGGCGGCGCCTGGGCGGCCGGACAATCGGGCCGGGAGGGGGGGGGACAGCAAGCCTCCCGACCACCCTGTATTGAAAACAGCCTACGGCAGGTTCGTGTCGTGCCGACCCCAGCGTTGGTTTTTGACACCGCAGGGATCGTTCAACCTTGAACGATTGGCCGCTGCCGCAACGTCCGATCGTTCAACGTCGATCGATTCTGGGTCGCCAGCGGCGTTCAACCTTGAACGCCCGCGCTGGGGTCGCCGCTGGTCGACACGACGCAAACCTACCGTAGGACCGAAACCGACGGACCTGGACCCGCAAAAAGGACGGCCGCGACGCCCTCTCGCGAGCCGAGAGAAGCCAATTCGCGAGTCGACGTGTCAGGGTAGGAGGTCGATCAACCTCCGACGAACCGAAGCTGCACACGCCCGCCTGGGCGATGCCATGCGACGTGGGCCATTCGGGTCGGGCGATCCGAAAGGGGGGGGTAGCAAAGGGGGGGACAGCAAAGGTGTCTTGGAGACGACGTCTTAGGGCGGACCGATCATTCGGCGACTCGGGGTCCTCTTTGGCTGTCTGCGGGGCCTCTCGGAGCCCTCTTAAAGCCCGTCTTGGGGCTCTCTGGCTGCGAGCAGGCCGCACGAGAAGCCTCGAGAAGTCCCAGGGGGCACGCGACAATCGGGTCGGGCGGAAGGGAGAAAGCAAAGGGGGGTTTGAGAATCAGCTCACGTAGCTGATTTTCGTGGCGCCTCCCGGCGCCGGAGGCGGCTAGCGTATCGAGGAATGGACCCCTTGGTGGGGCCGAAACCAGCTGCATACAACAGATTTCGTACCCCCCTCCCCCTTTCCCAATCCTCCCCTTTCGTCTGGCCCGACTGACAGGGGGCGGAGCCGCCCCCAGGGGCCGCAAGAGTGCGTACTATACTTCAATGTGTTGGACGCTGGCGGCTGGCGGCTGGCGCCAGAAACCGTCAAAAGGGATGGGCAGTAATGGCGTCTCCGGAAGACGGTTTCGCGAGACTCGAGCAAGACGAACAGCCGGGGCGGAGGAGAGGCGACACGACCAGACGAGCGGAGAAGGCCGACGGGCAAGGGCGAAACCGACAATGGCGACCCCAGATCTGGAGTCGTCGTCCTTGTCCTCGTCTGCGCCCGTCGGGCCTCGTCGTCGTGGTCGCCACGGCGCCGCCGTCGCGGCCGTTTGCGCCGGCGCCGAGGGACCCTCGCCCTCGCCCCCTTCGTTGCCCTCTTCGCCGCCGTCCTCGCCGCCAGCACGCCGCCGTCGGCGCCGTCCGCCGTCGTCGACGGCGCTTGCCGGCGGCGCCGCCGGCAAGCGCCGTCGGCACGGGCTCCTCGTGGCCGGGCGCTGCCCGCGGCGGTGGCGCGGCGCCGACGCCGGTGGCGTCTGGGTCGGAACCCCAAAGCCCCGCCACGGAGGCAAGCAGGCCGCTCTCCATGGCGAAGGGCCGCGTGGAGTGGAGGGGGGGAGGATGGGGGGGGGGGGCATCCTGAGCCCAGGCGCAGTACGAGGGCAGAGGGAGGGAGGATGCGGGGCAGAGCTGGGGTTGACTGCGGACGAGAAGGGCGTCGCCTCAACTTGCTGCCCCGCGCGCACATTTGGAGTCCCAAAACGGTGCGGTGACAAACCGTGCTGTGACCTCAAAATCCCACAAAACGGTCCGTCACCGCACGGTCTTGGGACCCTGGAGGACCCTGTCGCCCGAGACATCCTCGGAGAACGACCCGAGTCCCAAAACCGTGCGGTGACCCCGAATCCCCACGGACTCACCGTCACCACCCCTTTTGGGGGTCCCCGAACTTAGCCGGCCGATCGCGGCGCCGGGAGCGCACTTCCACACGAACGGCCCCAGGAGCATGGGCGCAACGGAGAAAGGGAGGGAAGAATGGAAAACCGAAGGCGGAAGGAGGAACACGGGGAAAGAGACAGAAAGAGAGAGAGAGAGAGAGAGAAAGAGAGAGAGAGAGAGAGAGAGAAAGAAAGAAATATGTTTAGAGAGGGAGGGAGAAAGAGAGAGAGAGAGAGAGAGAGCGAGAAGAGAGAAAGAACAATAAAGAGATAGAGAGAAAGACTGAGAGAGAGAGAGAGAGCGGGTAACACCAAGGAGGACATGGGATGGAAGAAAATGGCATGGAGGACGGACGGGAACAGATAGGACCGAGGCGGGTGGGGAGAAAGGCGGGGTACAGCCTTGCTTGCGGTGGGCCAAAGGGGACACAAGAGCTCCAAAGAATTTGGACGCCCGAAATGGATACGGAAAGAATGGGTACAATGCCCAACAACAATTGTTGTCCCACGCTAACATTGGCCGATGTTGGGCTGGCGGCCTTCTGTCTCGAATGGACACAGGCCGCGGCGTCGTGGACAGCGAGTCTTGTTCAAAATGAACAGGATCCGCTGTTGGGCATTGTACCCATTCTTCCCGTGCCCATGTCGTTCGTGGGGGACACAGGAGCTCCAAAAAACAGACGCCGGCGCTAGACAAGAAAAACCGAGCCTGGGCGCCGATCCACAGAAATCCCCACGGAGCTCCAAGAGTTCACGGCTCAATTCTCTGGCCTCTGCGCCTCCGGAGGGCCCTGCAGCCTGCCGCCGCGTGAGCCCCGCGAGATGCGCCCCGTTTTTGAAGCCGCCCGGTCGCCAGGCGAGCCCGCGCCCTGCTTCCGCAGGCGTCCTGCGCCGAGGGCGCGCGCGACAGCCCCGGCGGCCCAGCCTCGCCGCGCCCCCTGCAGCAGGTCCGCGGGCACCCGCAGAAGAGCAGGGCTGGCGTTAGGTCGGACGCGTCCCGCTAGAGGCGGATTTTGAACCAAAACGACAATGAAAAACAAACATACTAAACAAATGCCGTCCCCAGACTATGATATATATATATACAAAAATAGATAAGAGCATGCCTCCTGTACTGGGGCAGGCCCGACTTAAGGCTGGCGCTGGAGCCTTCGTCCTCCCCGCCCTCTCGACTTGTGCCTCACGGGCGACGGCGAACGCCATGTGCACGTTGGCCGGGCGAGATCGGCAAAACAAAACGAATTAATTACGGGGGCGGATCAAGCGCTCCTCCTCCTCGAATCGGAGCCGCGTCGGAGCGTCGGAGCCGCGCAGGGCCGGGGGGCCTGTGGCCGGGGGGGGGCCCGGGAGGCCCCAGCGCGGAGCCCCGGGCGCGCTGCGGAGCCCGGGCCTGCCTGCCGAGGTGATTCTCTAATGGTTGCGGGGGGGGAGGGGGAGGGGGAGGAGGGGGAGGAGCGGGAGGAGGAGGGGGAGGAGGAGGGGGAGGGGGAGGAGGAGGGGACGGAGCGGGAGGAGGAGGGGGCTCAAGCCCTTCCACAGAATAGCGAAACGCAGCAAAAGCACATCGATTCGTGAAGTAAGGAATCGGTGGGAATCTAGATTGGGACCTGGCAGCCAAACAAACAGTACTCCGACGGTCGGACCCCGCACGGGAATCTGTGTGGCTTGTCCCTCGCCCTTCTCGACCAGCGGAAGACGTCCTTCCGCCCTCTGGCGTCCTCCTCCTCCTCCTCCTCCTCCCCCTCCTCCTCCTCCCCTCCCTTTTTCATCCTCCTCCTCCCCCCTGTTCATTCTCGTCCTACCCGTTGCATTCCGCATCCTCTTGCTCTTCCGCCTCCTCATGTTCATCCTGTTCCCCCTCGTCCTCCGCTCCTTCCTCCTCCTCGTAATGTTATTCCTGTCTCTTCTTTTACCTCCCATTCTTCTCCCTCCCCTCATCTCCGCCCCGCCTGTTCTCCTCGTGCACTTGTCCTCCCTCCTGGCAGGAGCGCGCGTGTCGGTTTTCCTCGGCGCCGTCGCCGCCTCGGCCAGCACGGGCGCAATATCGAATGGCCGCATCGCGCAGCCGTCGGGACAACCCCGCTTGAGACTTCTGCCATAGTCAAGCCTCAGGAGCCTACAGGGGAGACGGTTGCAGAATCATGATGACCCCTCCGGGTTGATAACATGAGCTGCGGGCCCCATAGGGGGGGGCTCCCGCCTGAGACCGTTTCGCAAGTCGCTCACAAACGAAGCTCCCGCCCGAGACTTCCCCGTACACTCAAGCTTGGGAAGCCCGACCCGACGACATTTACAGGATTCCGATGACACCCTCGGGAGGGCGGCCCCTTTCCTCGCAATTCACTCACGGACGAGATTCCCGCCGGAGACTTCCACCATACTCAAGTTTGAAGAGGCCAAGCGCGACGAATGATACAGGATTCCGATGACATGCTCGGATTAGCAACGTGAGCTGCGGGCCCCATTGGGAGGTGGGTCCCGCACGAGAGCTCTTCGCAATTCACTCACAAACGAGGCTCTCGCATCAGACTTCCCCTACACTCCAGTTTGACGAGGCCAAAGGCGACGACAGATACAGGATTCCGACGACTCGCTCGGATTCATCAGATGAGCTGCGGGCCCCATAATTACGGAGGGGGTTCCCGCCTGAGACGTCCTCGCAATTCACTCACTGACAAGGTTTCCGCATCAGCCGTCCCCCAGACACTCAGACTTGAAATGGCCAGAAGCGACGACATTTACAGGATCCCAAGGACCCGCTCGGAGTAATGATATGAGCTGCGGGTCCCATAGGACGGGGTTCCCCGTCTGAGATTTCCTCGCAAGTCACCCACACAAACAATCCCGCGTGAGATTTCCGCCGTAGTCAAGCTTGAAAAGCCCAACAGTGACGACAGCTAGACCCGCTCGGATTAATAACATGATTTGCGGGCCCCATAGCGAGGGGGCCCCCGGGTGAGATGAGTGAATGAATGAAAGAGTGGGTGAGTGAAACCGGTGATGGTAATAATAGTGATGGCGATGATGATGATGAGGATGACGATGAAAGTGTGACTGGCTGAGTGTTGGCGGGTAGGTGGGTGAATGAATGGGTGAGCGCGTGAGTGGTGATGATGATGAGTGCGTGAGAATGTGCGAGTGGGTGAGTGAGTGGGTGGGTGAGTGGGTGCGTGCGTGCGAGTATGTGAGTGGGTGAGTGGGCGGGTGGGTGAATGAGTCTGAGTGAATGATGATGTGCGTGAGCGATTGGGTGAACGAGCGCGCGATGTAAGGATAAGAGGAGAGGGTCTGCTCTTGTTCTTGCGCGGGATGTCTGGAGAAAACGAGAAAAAACATTTCTGATGTGGAGAAAGCCCAACGACCAGCGTGTACACAGGGCTCTGGCCGCGCCCCGTCCGGCGCCGCACCCCTGGGCCAGGGCGCACCCGATCTTCCGACGGCCAGGTTTGTCCGCCACGTGGGCCCGCAGACCCCACCAAACCCAACTCTCCCTTCTGCGGCGGCCTCTTTCTGCGTTCGGCCATCAAACCCACATGGCCCGACGCGTGCGAATTCCGAGGCCGGGGTAAAGGCTGCGTTGCTGAACGGTGACGTTGGGAACCAGACTGTACGAAATCACGAACCACTGTTTCCTACGTCTCCAATCTGCGAATGGATCGAGCAAACGCAACACAACGGTTTGCTAGAAAACGCGAGCCACGCGCTCCCACGCGACCGAAGCCTACATCGCCGTGACCTACATCGCCGTCGGCCCGTCTGCCGGGATTGAGGAAGCAAACGCGCCCATACCCTCTGAATTCGCGTTGGCCCCCCGCCCCACCCTCCGTTCACTCGGCGGCGAATAGGACCGGTCCTAGAACGTCTCACTCGCAGTCGCAGCCGTAACTGTCGTCGTCGCATTGCGCGGCGGGCGCCGCGAAACGAATATTGGGTTACCCCCAATTGGTGGGGCCACAATCCTTCAATAAGGCCGCCGAAAATATCAGTTACCCTCTATTGGGGATGTTCACCCCCACCTAAGTGCGCGGGTCTTGTGAATCTCCTGGGAGCTCCGAAAAAGGCCAACGAGCGGCCCACGGCCGCCGAGTGACACGCGCGCGATGCGCAGCGTATTTAATCTGACGGCCCATGGGGAGTTCACCGCACGGCGCCGCGTAAACCACGATAGGGGCGCATTTGCCGTCTTCCCTTACCAAGAAATGCGCCCGTGAACAAAGAATCCGGATCCTCTTTTCCTAGCCCAGGGGATCCCTTCACGTGGATCTTCGGGGCGGGCTCCCCCTTGACGTTGGCAAAACGACCTGGCGGCGCACGCGCGCGCGCCGCTCCCTCGTCTCTGGCGCACGCGCTGCGCAGTGCTACAGTTGGCTCGAGCCACCGCCCGCAGCGGCGAGTGGTCTGCGAGCAAAAGAAGGCCGGAGGGAGCGAACACTGGCGAAATTAGGAGGCCCACCACCCCCACGATTTCTAAAGGGGGAAATGGGATTCACTTCGCCGGGGGGGTCCCAAACGAAGGAACCCCCACCTCCCCCCAAAGAAATCGAAGGTGGGGAAGGCTTCGCATGTGGCCTCATGGAAATCCCCCGCCGCTGGCACAGGGGCAACCTCACTTCCACACGCCGACCTTCAGTACACCGCGCCCGGGGGCGCCAACCCATGGGGTGGAGGGGGGCACGACGACCCCCAGACACCGAATACTGCAGGATAAAGACATCCGAAACTGGGGAAAATGCTAAAATGGACTACGGATGCGTGGATCTGGAGTGTGGGCGCCGAATCCACGGATCGGGCAAGTCCGATACCCAGATTCGAAAGACCATCCGACCAATGCCGTCTGATTTGGCAACGGATCGCGGGAGTGGTGGGCAGCGGAGCAGGCGGCGGCTCGCCGGGAGGCACCCTTGATGCACCTCGGGTTGCACTGCTGCTCCATCTGGCGGCTCACGGCGATCTGCGAGGGAGGAGGAGGTGCGGAGGAGGATGCAAGAGCGAGAGGCGGAGGCAGGGAGTAGCGGGAAAAAGAAAGGAAGAAGGACAGAAAGAAACAAGTGAAAACAAGGGAGGGAAAGGGAATGAGGAGGAACTCCATCTGACGCTCCGTCTGACCCCAGCTGAGCTGTAGACGCCCGTCGCCACTGTCGGGTGTCGCGGGAACTTGAACGGGCGAGGTGGCAGCACATCCCTTGCTCGCAGGTCTCCAGAGGGTTGGAGCGGGGGGGAGTGCAAGACGGGCGAGGCGTTCCGACGCCCAGCGTAAGCTTTTTATACACACACAAGCTAGTCATCAAATATACTAAAAAAAAAAACCTCGGCGCGACCCGCGCGAATCGCAACACGGAGCACGAAGAAAGAGTTCTCGTGCGGAAAGTTAGTGTCGTGCCGTCTTCGGCATCGGCTTCTGACACTGTGGGTCGTTCAGCTTTGGACGTGCAGCGGCTTCCCGATCACAAGATCTTTCTGTGTTAGCCGATTCTGGGACGATGGCTGCGGCGCTCAACCTTGAACGCCCGCGGCGGTGTCGCAGGCGGTCGACACGACGCGAACCTGTCGCGGGGGGGGGGGCGGGGGAGGCGGGGCGGGCTGGGGGGGGCGGGGGCAAGTAGCGACTCTCGCACAGCAGCCCTCCAGATGTAGGGTCGGGCATGTCCTCCGACGGGCGGAGTTGTTAAAAGAGAGATAAACCATAGACAAACCATACTTTTTGTATGATAATACAGAGACGAAGCATCGTCTTGAACTATTCTCGAACTATTCTTGAATAGTCTTCCTGTAGAGGGACATGCCCGACGTAACTTCAGCTCACACTCGCGCGTGCCAATCCCATTCCTCTGTGCACACACACACGCACACAAGCCGTGGCGTGCGCGTGTGTGTGTGTGTGTGTGCGTGTGCGTGTGCGTGTGCGTGTGCGTGTGCGTGTGCAGTGTGTTGCTCTTCAGCATACATAACCCATCGTACGTGTGCAACTTGTGCTGCTGGCCACCAGCATAGCATATCTCACGCACGCCAGGGGTCGTGCTGGTCACGAGCACGCGCGCACGCCGTCACAGCGCGCGTGAGCACCAACGCTCGTGCTGCTCCGAGGCAAAAGACAGGGCGATCCTCTCTGGCAGGCGGATGTCGGCATACAGCAGGAGGTGGTCCGAGGGCTCCCGGGCCGACGGGTACACCGGCTCCGAGGGCTCCGCGGCTGGCAGCTCCCGCGCGGCGACCACCTCGACGCCCCCGGACACGAAGATGTAGTCGAGGGTGTCTCTGAACGGGCCCGGCTCGCCTTTGCGGGCGAGGTGGGACGACCTTCTGAGAACGCGGAGGGCTTCGTTGGAGGGCTCAGGGGCACTCCTTGAGAGGGAGGAGGGCTCCTGCAGCAGAAGGAGCCCTCTGCCTGCTAAGAAGGTTCCCCCTCTTTGCGCCCCAACCCTTCTTTCTCTGCGCCGCTGGGCACCCTGGAAACGGGTACAGAAACGGTGGGCAGGGTACCATGCCCGACAGCAAATGTTCTCCAAGACCGACAGCGGCGGCTGTTGGGCAGTGGACTTTTGTCTCAAATGGGCAACGTCCGCGGTCACGCCGACAGCAAGTCCTGGCTGGCCCCCCGAGTAGCTCCAAGGCGGTCTTCACACCCGAGCCCTGGCGCCGCCAGAGACGGCGCCAGGGTGCTGAGACTGCCCTGGACTGCTCGGAGGGGCTGTTGAGGCCAGCCAGGACTCCTGGAGGGGCTGCAACACTGCATCCCGAGAGGTCCCCCAAAAGCGATGCCAATAGAACATCCAAGAGGCCTCTGATCTGCAACCCAGGCGCGGTGGCGGGATGGGCTGTGATCCGCCGCCCACGGTGGCCTTGCCAGCAGGGGTGCCCGGCGTGCGGAGGTTCAGGTGTGTGTTGGGGGTATGTTTAAACCTCGCCTGGGGCTTCGGCCCCTTGCGACGACCCCCGGGAACAGCCCCCCAGTTGCCCCGACGGTTGCCTTCCTCGCTCCTGCAGGGCCCAAGGAGGAGCCCAAGGTGCCTCCAAGCCGGCCCAGATGGCTCCACAAGGGCCCAAGATGGCCCCAAGATGCACCCAAGACGGCCCAAGATGCACCCAGAACGGCCAAATGTAGCCTCCAGATGGCCCAAGAGGGCCCACAAGGCTCCCGAAAGGCCGGCCCAAGAAGCCTCCAGAGGGGCTTCCAGGAAGGTCCGGGGAGGCAACCATCATTGATGTTTTTTGGTTTGGAAGGATTTGGGCATTTGCTTCTTCACGGCTCTCCGACGGCCCAAGAGGCCCCGGGGATCCCACTAAGATCGAGCAAGAAGTCGAAAGTGAGCCTGGTAACTCAAATAGCATCCGATTCCATGATAGACATCGGATGGCAAATCGCCTCCATCGCTCTGCTGTGATAGTACAGTATGAGGGGTGGGCGGATAAGATAGGATAAGATCGATGTAGTGATCTTTCCAGCACATAGCGAACACTCGCGGTGTCCGGGCAAATAGGGCGCGCGTGCCTTGGGCCAAAGGCAACGGCGCGCGAGCTATGCTCCCGATACTATAACAGATCCCGAAGACCTACCCTTAAAGTCGGGAGGGGAGGAGACGGAGAGCATAGTCGCACGCAACGGTCGCGCGCACGACTGCTTGCAAAAAAGGAAAACAGTGCGTACAGTCTGGCCTAACACACGACTGCAAGGCGAGTTTCCTCGCAAAGCATTTCACGCAAATACAAGACAGCCCCTTCAAACAATGAAGGGCTATCGGCTCAGCTAGAGGTAAGCAAAACAGCCCATACCTCACCAAGCAAATGTGTATTAAGGCAAAGAGCCTGAGTTGTACGAAGCCAGCTCGTTGCCAGGCGTGAAATATAAGGCTCGTTTCCGAGCAACTAGAGGGGCGCCTTTATAATAGGCGCCCGTGCAGGCAAATTGGACCGCGAGGGCAACAAGGACAGACTAAAATTGATTTGACTTAGGTTTGTCTCTGTCCTCGGGACCCCGAAAGGGAACACATTGCTTCACGTCATACTTAAATGACTGAGTGCCTGACACCACTTCCAGAAGCAGCTCCCGATCGATGCTTCCCTTTGTATGCCCATCTGCGGCCATATCCCTAGTATCACACCGCACATTATGTACTATACCTCTATCCATGAGCTCACGTATCCAGCTGATATGTCCAAGCAGAGTCCGTTCTGTAGGTATCTTGAGATCCCTGCTTGATAAAGATTTGTAGACGGACCCGGCGTCTATGGTAAGAGAGACTCTGATGGCTAGGCCTCCAACTTCACGCATGTCTCGTAGTTGTCGTGGAGTCAAAGCTCCTGCCTTAAGCTCGTGGAGAGTAATGAGCGTAGGGTAACACTCATCAAGGTTATGTGCAGCTGCAAGTGCCTCCGCAGCATAACTGGACCTCACCTGTAATCGGTGTGATTTGCATAGTCCGTCACAGAGGTGAACGACGGACTTGCCTTGAGGCGAGCTTCCTCGCCGTAGTACATTGGCCCCGCGTATGCCGTGGCCCTTGGTCTCGTCATCCTCCTCCCCGGTAAGCTTCCGATACCCCGAATCGCTATGGATGTCAACTTCATTCGTCGGCTTCATCCGAGGGAAGGTGATACGTTTCGGGCTGCTGATCAGCTTTCGCGTCACAGCATTCAGACGTCTGACTTGCAGATTGGTGGGCTCTTGAATTTTCTGAAGAGAGACCACGCATACCATGAGCCAGATTTGGGCAAGAAGGGCATAGGCGAGGGCTCCTCGCAGGCTGACGAACATGTCGGAAATAAGTTTCGTGGCTTTGGCATCGGCCGCCGCTCCTGTAAGTTCTGGGCGTGTGATAGGACGTAGTTGTTTGATATACTCGTCCTGGTCCATGATCACATCTCCTTGGTCATTCTTAGTGTAGCGAACGGCGGAGTTCGTATATGTGTGCTTGTTGAGCTTGCATTTGCCAAACACCTTTTCGACACGTTGTACATAGTCGTCTATATTTTTCTCTAGACCTGTCATGTCAATATCATCGACATGTTTTGCCGTCAGAAGGTCTTGGCTGAATTCAAATTCAGGATCGTAGCTGGTCGGTGCAAGTCCTGTAGCTCGTGTGGTCGTACGAAGTTTGAGAGAGAACGCTCTTGGAGCGTCCTTTGTACCGGTTCCTGGTTTGAGGCATCTAAGACAGTGTCGACTTGCGTCGTAAGATGAGAAGCCGGGTAATATACGAAGTACCTGAGCACTTCCTGGTGGAAGAGTAAAGCAAACCATGCGAGTTTCCTCGCCGGTGGCATGGGCAAGTTCCTCATAGGTCAAACCCTTGAGGAACGCCTTATCGATATCCATGGATGCTAAGATCCACTCTGGATGGCATGCCGCTTCACTTGCCAGGAGTCGTTGGGACTGCCTTCGGGCGGTTCCCGAGAATGTTTCCACATCAAAAGCCTCAGTATCCATTAACCCACGAAGGACCAGTCTGAGACGAATGGTTTTAACGCTCTCGGTACCCATCTTTACAAACTTCCACTTGTATACATATCTGGATGTCATGATGTTGGAAGCTTTGGATAAATCATACATCTCAAAGCATCGATTATCAATCCAGATTTTGAGCTCAGTATACAAAGCTTCACTAACCTCCTTTGGATGTGATGCTATGTCGGCTTTGGTCAGTAGATCATCTTCTTTGACAACCACAGCACGGTGAGCAGCAGAGGATACATATACTCTCATCGTTGCGACCATATCGGTATCGAGCTGTGCAAGTTGAGTCTGATCCAACACTATTTTTGGCATTTCCGATGTAAAACATAATTCAACGTAAGGACCATATTCATCACTGTCAAGGGAGTAGCTCTCGTCGGTTGTGGTTGAACATTGAGAGACTAGACAGGATTCACTTGATTTCGGCTCGTCTCCGAGCATACCTGATGATATAATATCATCTTCGTCCACAAATGCTGAAACCAAAACACATTGGTCGGGCAGCATAGTTGTTGGGACGCAATAAAGATAATCATCAGTAATCGTCGTAGGATGAAGGTCCATACGTAGCTCGTCGTACCACTCTTCCAGCATCATAGCTTCGATATTGTGTTCCTCATTTTCCTCATAGATTGTCGACAGACGGCCTTCACTCGGCGATGAAGCATCTGGTGTGTCTGGAGAAGGCCTGTTTCCAGGCGACTCGTGTTCTCCAGACGTGTTGCTTGGATGCTGATATTTAGCCAAATCGTCGTGAAATCCTAAGGAAGGGACACGTGAAGTCAAGCATTGAATAAGTCTGGAGTGAGTGCTACCAGTGATCTGAGAAATGTTTAAGCCGGTGCCCACACATTCGTGATAGTGGAACGCCGGGCTGATGTCGTTGTCATAGTGGATCACAGCGTAGACCCGGTGGCGTACTTTACTGCAGGTAGGCTTGACACACTTTTAGCCAATCGAACTGCTACTACATGTTCTACTCGGAAGTAATTTCGTACGAGATACTGTAGTGCTAAGTGTACGCGCGGGTGAAACTTGCTGTCGTCTGACAGATTAAGGTTTCCCTTGTAATCGGGGATATAACCGAAAACTTTGGCAGGTTTCCCTGCGCTGAGGTGTGCCACACAAGCATGGACGGTCTGCATGGCCATATTATCCATGCCAAGTTCAAGTGTGAGGAGACATTCGATGTATAGTGTGTGACGAGCATCAGGATACATCACCATTACCTCACGAGATCCTGCCTTGACAACAGTATGTCCTCTTTCAGGCACATTTCGGATCACCGGGAATGGGCCATTCCAGCCTCCATGGTCGTCCTTGGTGGCAGTAGGTCGGTGGTAATCGACCAAATCCCCTGATGAGTAGAGGCGAGCACCATCAGGAGTCGTCTTAGCCCTAAGAGCCCGATTTGTCTTGGCCACAGCAGTAGCCTGAGTTATGGCTTCTAGGCTGACTTCCCTTACACGACGTTCTCGTTCGTGTCCTGAAGTCTCGGGTCCCTTGGGAAAGTCAAGGGTATCGAGATCAGGGAGGAAAAGAAGGCTGACGTCCTGTGTGTGCCTGATATGGCGATACTCCGTTATAAAACGTAAACGCATTAGTAACGAAGATGCCTTCCGCCAGTACTCTAGTGAATACAACAGGGATGTTGTGTCTATTCAATTCTTCCTCAATCATGTGGAGGACGCCTCTTAAGAATGCCGTTTCGTGACTCAATTGAAGTCGCGCGTTGGCCAGGTGCTCGGATACGAAGTTCCGTGCCCTTATTGGCCATCATGGTTTTAGCGGCATCGTTATTCAGGGCGCCTTCTCCGTCTGAG